ATGAAATTACAATTTCTTACACCATCATACCACAACTAAAACTGTGTGGAAAGTCAAAACTATAAACAATCAAGAAACAACCAGCATATAACTATCTTCTTAACAACCACCATGAGCGAGTACAGCCAACTTTAGTCCACACCAATTTAATTTGTTGGTTAACGGATTTTTCTACAAAAATAGTGGAGCAGGCGGGCGAAAAAAATAAAAACAGGCCTAGGCATCCTATTATGGCCATAATGGAGCCATGAAGTCAACACACCAGGCTGGTTCGAAATTTAAACAATGAATTTTCAACTTTTAATGATACCATTGCATTGAAAGATGGAATAACTGTAACAACTACTTGAACTAGGAAGAAAAGGACTGTTTTCAACTGTTCAGGGCAAACTATGAGCATTTTGCAGTTGATTCTGAATTTTTATTTTTATTTGCAAATCAGAAAAAAATGAAGTGGGCGAATCCGTTAACCAAGAAATTAAATTGGTGTAGCCTTAGTGCTATACAACATTTATTTGGGGGTGTCGGTAAAATCCCCAATGACAACTCTACAGTGGTTGGGGGGGGGGATTGGATGACCCTCAGTATGATATTCAGGCATGTGTAACACCTGTGCAGCAAGAAGTAGGTCAAGGGTCATATACAAATTTCTAAGGTCACACCAATTTGATTTGTTGTTTCTCTGATTTTTTCAGGAAAAATATGAACTGAGACTATTGTTATACATCTGTCTAACATCTGTCCTCTCATCCATAACTTTTCATTCATACAATATATGCAGGTACCATCCATTCTCAGTTCTTAAAAAATTTTGACTTTTTTGATGGAAATAGCTTTAATAATAATAGCTGAACTAGTTTGAACATGACATCTGGTTTATGGCAGATAATCTGCATGCAGTGATGATCTAATTGATAAGTATTGTATTTGGTCAACAAATGAGGTTAAGGCCACACCAATTTAATTTCTTGGTTAACGGATTCGCCCGCTTCATTTTTTTTTCTGATTTGCAAAAAAAAAAGAAGATATTTTGCCCTGAACAGTTGAAAACAGTCCTTTACTTCCTAGTTGTTACAGTTATTCCATCTTTCAATGCAGTGGTTCCATTAAAAGTTCAAAATTCATTGTTTAAATTTTGAACCAGCCTGGTGTTTTTTTGGTTTTTTTTTGCCCGCCCGGTCCATTATTTTCCTAGAAAAATCTGTTAACCAAGAAATTAAATTGGTGTGGCCTAAGGAGTCAAAAATGTTAGGTGACAAACCCATCTGGGAGATGATGATGGGTGATAGCACACAGCTAAAATTCCACAAACAGACAGATTTCTTCGGGACCTCAATACTAGTAACTAACCATAATAACAACATGCCAAAATCAAAGTAAATCCATCCAAAGGTTCTTGTGTTACAGGTGTGAACACAAAAAATGCCATGTAAAATAGTCCCCCATCAGAGGTGAGTCCTTCCTACAGTTACAAAAACAAAGTTCCATCCAGTACAGTACCATAGAAAGCTGATATATGAAGGAGGCCCGATATCTGATCAATGTATATCAGGGCAAGACCTTTAACCACTCTCCAAACATCACAAACCATCCATAGCTTTTTGACTATTGCTGTTCACCACAAAGAAAACCACAAATTCATGACCACAAAACCAAGGTTATATGTGCTACCACATGCCGTCCTGTACAATAGGTTTTAATACCCGTGTCTGTCTGTTATGGTAACATGGATTAGAATGCATGACAGGCAAAAAGTGGCAAGGGCAGTCTCCTCAAAGACTGACAAGGGGAAAGATCCGAGGATAGACTGAAAGCTGCTATACAAACAGGCCAGGCCAGGCCTCCTTCCCCTCAGGCCAGGCTACAGGATGAAGAATTGTGTCAAAGATCCACTGTGAAGGCTATCAGAACACATCTGTCAGCTAGGTAGTAGGGAGGACACGTTACAGCCTGTAACATGGACATATCTCCTTGGATTATGGCAGCATTGAAGACGTCGGATGCCTGCAAAATGAGGAGACAACATAACCAATCACCCACTGGCCAAGAATTTGCCAGGAATGATTATGAGTGATAGGAATTACCACTTAGGTCTAACTTGGAATGCTGTACCTGGAGGCAAAGAAAGCAACATTACTATTAATTTACAGATCACACATACTGTGGTATGTGCATGTCTGCAAAAGTCCAACAGTTTAGTTCATATTAGGCCACACCAAGGAGGTTTTAGTGGAGATTTGGCCACACCAAGTAATTTTTATGGATGACATCAGAGTGTGCATTGATTTTGGTCTGTTTCCAGAAAAAAAACAAGAAATTCCACTTCCTGAAACTATGTCCCATGACCAACCCTGAGGTTATTGACAGGACAATCCTGTCAATAGTGGAAAAATTTGGATCCATGTGAAAGGACAGTAACAGGACAACTGCTGTTCACTGATTTATTGCTGTTTGCATGATGAATAAAGGACTTGTTCAGGTTGTTACACCGTGTCTGTCATTCAAGTTGTTTCCTACCGGTAACATTTGTCTGTCTTTCAAATCTAGTCTTGTTTATCTAGCCCTTTGTTTTTTTTGTACTCACTATATTTATGGTCTCCAGAGAACGTCATCCATAAAAATTACTTGGTGTGGCCTGAAGTACCATTTTTTACTTCCTCTGCGATAAACCGGATAGTGAGTGAGTGAGTCTGCATTCATTACTTGTCAGTAGTGCTGTCAATTACACGAAGAAGCCATAGAAAGACATCCAATTTATTAACTTTTCTACAATTTTTCTAGAATATTGCCTTTTTTTAGCCTCCATCAGGCCTTCTTATGGGGTTATGGCCAATATGATGATAGAATTCGGTAAAAGTGTATACAGTAGTTGGCCAGGGAAATGAGCTTAAAAGTAATATTTCCCCTAATGCAACCCTGGCAAATTATTCTCCCTATACTATATATAGCCAGCATAGTTAGTCTGGTAGAGACTACAATGTAGCTTTTCCTTTTCTCACTGTTACAAACTATGCTACAAGTTGACTTGTCACAGTATCCTTCCCTGTCTGTGTTATGTTACTGACATTTGTACCCAACTGCTTTATCAACGGGCTGACAAGCATTCTCCTGTGCTGCACAAGAGCACTGGTTGGAAGCTCAACCCCCCACCCAGAACACTAAACCAACATGAATCGTGCTTGCCAAACACACGAGGTGAAACTTTTGTTTCCCACAGTGCCCTACAACATCAACTACACTTGAATGGACGCTAAGAGACAATGGAAGCAAACAGACTGGAGTGAGTCAACTTCCGAGAGTGCTTGCCGACACAGAATGCCAGAGACGCCAAGGTAACTCCCCTCCATATATATTTAGCACGGAAACCAGATCTGGCAACGCATCATAATAGCCTGTTTGAACGGAGGCAGAGGCACAAGCATCCACAACACAATGTCTACTGTGCAAATAGGGATGATGGACTGATATGATAAGGGAGCAGGTCTGACCACAAAACAAGTACTGTTTGTCATGATTTACACATGGTTCAACCTTGACTTTACAAATACACTCTACTCTCTAAAGATAAGATTTTAGGGCTGCATTTTCCTTGCTTGCATCTGAAAACAAATTTTCTGGGCCAAAATAGCATTTTATAGAAGGAACAAATCCTCAGTGTAAGTTGGGGTGCACTCAATCATCCAAACCATTGCCTGCAGTAAAATATACCCCACCAGGTAGTCACCTATTCCAACAACATTGCAAATGTAATCTGACAACTCTGCTAAATCGGTCGCTAGCTACCGTAATGAATCCTTGCAAATATTGGACAGCGATGCCGACAATGTTTGCACTGCAATCAAGGCTACCAGGATAGTCCTCCCCCTTCAGGGGAAGTGTAGCATGGCTGGGCCCCAGATGCATCTGTATGACCCTTCCTGTTTGGCTACCTCGGATGGCAGGCAGCTCGACTTAAGGGGGACTTGACAAAACTAAAGCCTGGGGCAACAACAAATCTCAATACCTGCATTGTGAGCCTTCCTATGTACACAAGTGGGAGACAATAAGGTAGCTGCCGTTTGGGGTACATTCAAGCAAGGCACATACACACCTTACTGTATGACCTCACTCCTTCACTTAGCTCTTTTCAAAAGTCATTCCTGTCAGACTACAGATTGTCCCATGTTTTTTCAAACCTGGAACAGTTTTTTGATCTCGTATATTGACAGAGTTTCTCTACAGTGTAAACTGTTTTCCTGTTGAGGTAGCCTTTTGCTACAAAATCTAACTTGTTGTCTTCCTTCCAGAATAAATTTCAAGTTTCTCAGGAGGGAAAAGGTTAAACCATGGTGGTGGGTTCTGGAGACTTAGGTCATTATTAGGAATCATAAACAGATTACAATCAGTTGTAAGGTATAAAAATAGGTTTTCTATACTTTCATAGCAGTTTCTGTTATGAACTGGTATCAGCTGTGGGAAATACATTTGTAGTTGCAAACAAGTTTAGAGTGAGTTTGTTGTACATGTATCTTGTTTTATGAGTTATGAGTTACATGTAACATTATGGCCAACAGATCAAAGTACATCTGAATACTTCTGGGGAAGATATTTCTATGCCGATGATGGAATGTCAAAATACATTTTGTAAAACTTGATTTGAATAGGATGAAATGTGAAGGATATCTTTTCTTGGCAGGCTTACAAGACCACAGCCTTTATGACCACAACAATTACGATCAACTTCTAACCCTTCCCCCAGCCACACCCTGATGTACTTACACTGTAACTTCACTTACTTTCACAGTGGTATAATTTTTGGTTGGAGGTTTTTGTGGCGTTTTAAATTCACCGGTGAAACAATTCCAAAGTATGATAGTACTACATTGGAAATGAATATTTGCAGTGTTATGAATTTGTGGCGAGTTTACAGCACTGAATACTAGTAACACCCAGTGACCCCCTCACCTCCATTCACATTACTGTAGAGGAAACAAGCTAGACACAGAATTGTCCAATTAAACTCAGTAACTCAAGCTTTTTATTGGTGATTGGTTGTACTTTCCCCACAAATGGCAGTGTTGAATGATGTAAGTATACTCTGTAAGGAGCAACTTACTACCAATCCTACATGAACTCTAGTTGACCTTTGGGCATTTGGCAGAAATAAATATCATAAAATAATAGAATTCCAAAATAATGATAATAAATACTTTTCTTCCACTAGCAACAGATGCAAATAAAGGTGTTGAGAAAAGGTCTTAAATATTTTTAGGAAAAGACAAGATTTTGTACATATACAAATATACAATGTAACAACTATACACTCTTGCAAAAGTGCTACTGACTTTGCCTTCTCAACAATTCTTTCAAAATTTCTTACATTTTCAATATTTTCAGGAATGATACAACAAATCATATAGTCTAATACTGTACACATTTTCATACAATATGGCACCTCTCTCAACATAATTATGTACAAAACAGTCATGTTACCTTTCAGCAGGATTAACCGTTTGGGAGACTTGTAGGGGGAAATGTGTCCAGTGTTCAACAATGTTCTGTCTTTACAAAAGGCTAGCAGGACCTACTGGGCCAACTACATGTGCCAGAATCAAGTAGCCTTGACCGCTGCTGGAATGGACCAGCCATTATACAAATGTAGTTCTAGTGAGAGTTGTTTTGAACCAAATGACATACAGGGTCTCTTTCTGTACATTGCACAATCACGGAGAATTATACTCTCCAAGCAGAGATTTGGGTTTGGGCTGATTTGGGGCATTTTTAGGCTTTTTTTAAATCAGGCTTTCTTTTTGCAGTGGTATAAAAATGTTACCAGTGCAAAAAATAAAAGCCTGATAAAAAGCCTAAAAACATGCCAAAAATAAGCCCAAACCCAACCTCTGCTTGGAGAGTAGGAGAATCAATTTTATTTTGGTCAGAGTTTTCTGTTTGCATGAATGGAGAGAGTGATTTCAGACCTACAAACATCTGGACATGGGGAATACCATCTACATCTAGTCAGGACCACTGGAGCGCACATGCCTGTCCCAGGCAGGATTTCTCTGCCAGCCAGATGAATCCCAGTTCCGGGATGACAGACAGATACTTATAGAAACATGTTGAACCAGAGATAAGGAATGCTTCAAAAAACAAAATGGGTGTTTGAGGTCAGATTACGAAAAAGGAACAAACGACAACTTTTAAAAAGGGCAGATAACTTTTTACATTTTTGCGATGGACTGAGCAGTGTAGGTATGCCAGAAATTGAGAGAGAGACAAAGTTATTAGAAACCCTACTGATCACTTTGCAAAGAGTATCCGTATAAAGTGTTGTCTCCTCTCTATACACCAATGCCAGGAATTTTTTTTGATTTTACGAAATCCCTCCTAAGTTCTCTTTCACTAAGAATGGTTTGGGCTGGTCTTGGGCAATTTAGTCTCATTTAACTCTATATAATAAGATTACAGAATGAACAGTACAGTATACATAATAATGAATGTTCAGTTGGTAACAAAACAGTTTTAGCATTTAGAAGGAAACATCACAGCAGAACAAAGAGTAAAGAATATTATGGCAGGACCAAGAAAGTGAGACAGATATGGGTTATTCTTAGGTAATTACTGGAGTAGACATTGGGGAAAACAGATTGATGGGTACAAAGCTATGCAAATGAGCATGACAGCCAGTGGTATTTCAGCTAGCTTTTAAAACATTGTTGGCTTTTTGACTACTTAAATAAGTTTACCTGTACTGTTGAGTCTCAACATTTCCTGTTTGCTAGCAGTTCGAATGGTAGTTGATGCTTTGAGCCTGACTTCTACACAAACATCCTTTTTTATGCCCTCTGTGGTTACAAGCTGTGGTTAATCTCATACATCCCCTGACAGGAAGGTAGCACAACAGGCAGGGAAGAAACATCCCCATGAGCCCCAGTGCAGTCCAGCGCAGGAAGCAGTGTTTCCTACTGCAAGAACAGGGGTTGTCTGCACTGCTGAAATCATCGTCACAGTTGTCTTTGCTACAGTGGTAGAAGACGCCCTTCACACAACACATACAAGTAGCATACTCCAGAGCATCCTCACCTGTACACATCAGTCTATTCCCGCATGTCGTTGCATCGTTTGTACTTTCTACTTTCTTCTGTGCACAATCTGGACATTTGCATCTCCCACACTCTGAACAATGGAAGAAAGGATGTTCCTCCGGTTTGACTTCAGTTTTCACCTTGATTTTAATCTTGTCTGTCTCCTTTTTAATGGTGCTCGTGTTGTGTTGGAACTTGGGTTTCTTGTGCCCAACCGTTCTTACCTCCACATGGTCTCTGTCAGACCTACTGTCCACTCGCACAATAGTGTTGACAGACCTCAGCGACCCCGTTGAAGTTCTTTGCAAACTGTTATTATTTTTTATTTTCTTGAAGGGGTCCACGTACTCGTTCTCCACTCGACGAGAGCTAGGTTTAATCTGGTCTATGGAGAGAACGTCCTGTTCGCTCTCTGGTACTCGAGCTCGCGCATTCCTGTTATCCTCAGAGCTCTGTTCCAACCTCCTACTAGCGCTAGTTCGCAGACTGCCCTGCCGGACAAAGTTGGCTGATTCCCGCGAGCTTCGAGCGGAACTTCCGTGGTGAGAACCCCGCGAGCTTGTCTCCAAGTCGTGACCATTTTCCAGGCGGGCGGCACTGCTGGCTCTACCCGAGTCTCGGGACCCTCGTGCCCCCGAGTTGCTCCTTAGATGTACCCTGGAAACCTCCCGAGCAACTCCGGGTACCGGTTGAACCGACCGGACCCTGTCCGGCTCGCGGGAACTGCCCTGTCTCTCCCTCCGAGCGGGGCCGGGGCCAGGGCGGTTCTGGTGCCGCCGTGAGAAGGTTTGTGTCCGCGGGGTGGTGCGGGGACTGTCCGGGCACAGTTGACGGGGTAACCACACTAGATCCGGCTCCTTGTGTCGCACAGTCTGCTGCTGGCGGCTTCTCCGGGGCTCCATCTAGCTCTTACCGCGGCCCCGCGATTCTGCAGGAACACACAAAGAAGAGAGACCATTTTAACGACAGCCACAACATTCTCCAACTACATCCGGACCCTGAGTCATGCGACCGGGGATCGCAAGCTTCTTCCGTAGCTAAATTTATACCAAGCTTCCGTGGGAAGCGCGGCCAGGGCTCGTTCGGGCCTCCCGAAATTCGCTGTGAATGAAATGTGCCACCTCACCACTTAGTACACCAGGCATGTACCTCACCACGCCAGATTTTTACTCTGCCATCTCCACTGCAAGTTCTACCTTACCCTGCTTGAAGGGTGTGTAGTGTATTGAGAGCGCCTGCTTGTAAAATACAGGCTCCATTCAAGCATAAGCAAAGAGCGGAAACGCGGTTTGACGAGGGGGGAGAGGGGTCACGCAAACTCCCTCAGCCGTGGATGAGCCGACATGCCGAGATAGGACGGTTTGGGAGGTCTCAGCAATTCGAACAGATTAGAATTCAATCGCAGCACACTTTCCATAGATACAGGGAAGAAGTCAGACCGTATAAAAGTACAACCACCACGGTGCAACAGGCAAGCGAACGACGCGGGCGCTCCCGTCCTCGCTCCAATTTAAACACACGACAGAAATTATGAATGAACGTCGTCCGGACACTATAGAACCCTATGCCTAGCCAAAAACTACGGATCTGTACTTACAAGACCTCCATGTACGGTCATGGATCGCTATCCCTTCGCTTCTCCCATGTTTCCAACCCCAGTAAAATCCTGCGGTAGAAGAGCTGATCAAGTCGGCCAGGCTTCCCCCGATGTATGTCCGCCAAATATGGAGGGCCAGTCCGCGTCAATTTGATGGAAACTGACACCTCATTAGCAGCCTCTGGGGAGAGTTACATCCGGTCCACTGGCCGCTGATTGGTCACAGTCTGATCCTTTCATTTTATCAAAGGGGATAGTGTATTCCCTGACCCAGCCCACATGCTAATGGGGTTGAAGAAAAATAGTATCCAAACTATGTACGTCTGTTCAACCTCCTTGGTCTGAGAGAGTAATACTCAAAACAGGGCATGTTGTTAGGAGATCTCGTCCGGTTCGGCTATACTGGTGATTTGGGGTGGATATGCTACGTGCTTCAGAGCGATCGGCTCGGGCGTTTTGGTATTCAGAAACCGCAGCTATTCAAATCCACAAGCCGGGCATTTTTGTTGCGACCAAGGACTGCGCACAGGAGTTTTCACAGCCACACGCACATTGGAAAAGAACATTGTCTGCTTGCTTTTGTAGTCACACTCGGGCAGGCCGGAGGGAGGCCGCGATTTTGTGTGTACGGGCGGGCTGCAGAAGGCCAATGGGTACAGGCGGCCAATATTTTTATAGACTACCGTTGCCCCACAGAATCTGCCTGGAGTGTTGGCACGGAACAGGACACACATGCAGTGATGCACGACCAATAACGAGAGTCAGATAAATACTGTACACGTAGAAAAGAAGGAAAAAATACGTGAATTCTTCACATGTCAAGGACAAGAAACAAACATATTTTGAAAAGGCAAACATGATTGAATCCACAGCCCTGCAGCTGTTGGTCTAGAGTGGAGTATATTTTTCTCACTTTTTCGAACTTCAACGATTTTTTCTACGAGCGAGGTATGAGTGAAATATTACGAAATTATCTTGGTTTGCGTGATCTAAAAGCAGGCGTGCCATGTGTATCGTTCGCACTCCCAGAGATATGTCTTCTACCTGAAACCCACCAAGGAAACGATAAACAAGTATGTCCGGAGCTCTGACGTCTTTCCTGTCTTGATTGATTCAAGAGCTTCTTATCAAACATGGTTGTAACAATGTTGTTTGCTTCCGCTTTAGGACAAATATAATGATTAAACTTTTACCGACACCGACATGTAAAACAGCAACCTGGCAATTTAACAAAGCGGAAATAATATATTGTCTATTCACAACAGTGTAGCCGACAGTGTTATTGTTGGGAAGAGGGGGGGGGGGTGTCTACAGATTCCTTCGTAACGTTGTCGTAGTCTCACCCACCCAGCTAGCCTCCTTTGCAGACGTTCCGGGAGCGGTCGTCGTGTTTTTTTTTTTCTTGGGGAGGGGGGGGGTTTAACTTGCACGACTTTAATTTTTCTGATCAAACGTAAACCTTCGCACGCATTGGAAGCTCTGGCCACCAACCCTACAGAGTTTCAGGGATGGTCTTCCAGGGCTGGCGGTGCGCCATATGAAACTGATCAGTGGGAACACGGCGGCGGAGATCGGGGTCGGCTGCTGGCCGTGTTTATTCTGCTTGACTTCCGGATGTCATTCACTCATACAACAAGCGCATCCTCCCCACAGTCTGGGTCCAATCCACTCCTTCCCGGAGGGGGGCTGCCATGTCCACAAATTATCGGACCATACCATGCTTCAACATGTTGTAGGGATGCCACAACGCAATGTGATTTGTAGCGACGAAAATCATCCTTTGCCAAGGAGCAAAACCTAATGAGATTCAATGAGATTGAACGTTTATTGTAAATGTGCGGACCTTTTGTTGGTGCCCTTGAACAGGTGGGTTATTTTTGTTGTCGTTTGATTGGCCGGTGACGTCCTGACAAACCAACTTCCGATCCAGCCGCATAGTTAACGATTTTGGCGGGGTTCCAGCGACCAGCGGGGTCTTTGCACTCTTTCTTTCAACAGTTCAAGGCCAGCTGTTTCGCACGTCTTTGCTGCTTCTTTTGCTATAAAATAGTACGTAGTATCTTTCCTATTTTGCATGTAATATTCTTGATTTAAACTTTCTGACAACCCAACTTTCATTCTGAGAAAATTTTTACCTCGAATTTTTTTCGATATCCTCATTGCAGTCCCCAAGAACTATGGGGAGTTTCTGATGGTTACCGGGTGTCTGCCTGGAGTCCAGCTCCGCAAGAAAAAGTGCAGTATGTTTGAGCAAGAGTAGTCCTATCATGGAATCTTGGAAGGCAGAAGATTTTTAGATTTTCCTCAATTATGTAAATATTATCTCAATTATGTAGATAGTGATTTGCATAATTGTCATCTAGATACATGTATGTAAAGCATACCAAAATCACAGTCTGTGTTTGAAAGATTTTCAAACAAATGCTCCTGCAGTTTTAGAATAAGCTGCTAGGGGGCCCAAAGTCATGTCTCTTCCTGGGTACAGAACATGACAAAATTTGTGACCCTTGCATGTCTAGATCACGAGATATCAAACCAGAAGTTCTGCTGCAGTATGGGACCATAATCTAATCACTTCGAGGTCTCATCAACCTACCCACCTACCAAATATGACAACAATCCATCCAAGCTTTCTTGAGTTATCATGTTCACGCACACAAGACACACAGACTCACACACACATGAATGCTACCAAAAACATAACCTTCTTGCCGAAGGAAATATAAAAATCAGTAAATCTAAAATCCCAATTAGTGTGGCCTACAAGAGAGGCAGCTGGTGGGCTGCAAAATGTTTCTCCTCAGCTCTGCCCCACTAATCAGCCTGACCTTCAGCACTAATCATGATGGAAGGAACAGCTAAAGTGTGACATGCTACTTCCTACCTCTAATCACCAGTGTGAGTGGCAGGGGAAGGTGCTTGGGAGCCATGAAACTGTGTCAAATCAGTCAGTGATTAAAGTTTTTCCTTCAGCAACCCATTGTATTATGTCTGAAAAAAAGTGGTGTTTCAATGTTATGACATTCTAGAATCACCAATAATACAGGTTCTGTAAAGTACCTTAAGGCCACACCAATTTAATTTCTTGGTTAGGCCACACCAATTAAATTTCTTGGTTAACAGATTTTTCTAGAAAAATAATGGAGCGGGCGGGCGAAAAAATAAAAATAGGCGCCCTATTATGGCCCAAAATGGTACGATAGGAGCCATGAAGTCAACACACCAGGCTGGTTCAAAATTTAAACAGTGAATTTTGAACTTTTAATGATACCATTACATTGAAAGATGAAATAACTGTTACAGTAACAACTAGGAAGAAAATGATTGTTTTCAACTGTTCAGGACAAACTATGAGCATTTTCCAGTTAATTCTGACTTTTAATTTTTTATTTTTTGCAAATCAGAAAAAAATGAAGTGGGCGAATCCGTTAACCAAGAAATTAAATTGGTGTGGCCTAAATGTTAATGCCTCTTGGCCTTGAAATAAACATACCAGCCATTAAATGGGGGACAGTTTTCCACCTCTAATAACTATCTGCACCATCATGCCCAAAGCTTTTTTTGGTGGTGGAATGTAGGTTGGCATTGGTTGGCTGTCGTTTGTGGCAGATTGTTGCTTGTCCGGCAAATACTTTCTTGTACTTGTCTGCAACAAGAGTACCGCATATAGAACATTTTCACGTGCATCAATTTTCGTCTGTTTCCAAAATACAATAAAAAAAATTGAACCATACTGTACATTTTATGAATTACAATTTATGAACAAAAATCGGAAATCTGATGCTAGTGTCGTAGAATGCCTTTTTTCTATCATAATTTTTTGTCATATCGACAATTAGGCCGCAAAATGTATTTCAAGCTGAACAGGAAGTATGTCAAAAGAAGATATTAAAGTTAAAGAACAATATAGAATGTGTTGTTTGGTCTGTGTGTTTAGTCATTTGTTTAACCTTCCTGAAAACTTTCACAGTGGATGTAACTTTTTTTCTTTGTATGCACACATGCCCAGAGCATGTCAGCTACATGTACATGTATGAGTATGACAAAATCAGTATGGCCTGATTGGTTTGTACTGTAGGACACAGGAAACAAAGGGTGGAAAGGTAGGAAAACTGCTGCTCTGAATGTGGTGTTAGGCCACAGCAAGTAATTTTTATGGATGACATAGGCGCACGCATTGATTTTTGCCCGATTTTGGAAAAAAAAAACATGAAATTTTGTTGTCCTGTGACAGTGGTCAACATGCCGAAAATGGGCAAAGATGTCTGTTGCCATGCCGGAATGTGGATGGCAGATAAATGTGAATAGAGAAGAGAAAAAAAGCTCTGATTTAATAATTATTTTTTACTTTGATGCAGTGATATGTGATGGTGGCTGTGTATATGTGATGTTCCCACTGAATCAAAAAATTTGTACGATTGACTAAAAATTTGAAGATGTGGGAACCTTGTTTTTTTCGGCCCATTTTTTTTTTCACCCGCTCACATTACCGGTAGATTTGGAGTCTGTGAAGAATGTCATCCATAAAATTTACTTGCTGTGGCCTAAGTTCTGAAGACTACAGATGGCTAGCAGTCTGGTCTCAAGGTTGGCATATTGAAAAGTTGATTGAAAATGTCAATTCTTCCAGAAAAGTGGTAAGTCTTTTAATATGAATGAATGAATGACTAAATAAATAAATAAATGTTACTTGTCTGCTCTATTCTCTTACAGCTGCAAGCAGATTTCATTTTTAACTAGAGGTCAGAGATCTCATGCCTTCATCAGAGGGACATTGTTCTAGAGAAATGAACACGTCACACTCACTCACTCACTGTCCGGTTTATCGGCTGTTGTTCCCTGTCTTCCGAGGGTTAGACGTGCTTGCACAATACTTCGTCTATACAATAATACGTGACTGTATGCTTTTTTTCAATAAATCAATTTGGTCTTGAGTACTCAGAAAAACTGTAACAACTGAAGAGAAGGGACTTTCCTCAACTGTTGGGACCAAAATATGAGCATTTTGGAGTTCATTCAGAACCTGAATCTTTTTTTGCAAATCAGAAAAAAATGAAGCGGGTGAATCCGAAAACCAATTAATTAAATTGGTTTGGCCTAAGTTGCTCTAAAAAAAGTGAAAGCAGCCATCCTGAATGGATCAGAAAACATACTGTAATTCACTTGATGTTGGCAGCAGCAAAAGTTCGCAGTCTGACAAAAATGGGCCTGTTCAGGTAATTATATGTTCACAGTGGCAGCAGGTGCAGAAAAAAGAAAGTTGACGAATTATCTTTAAGGCTGTATACATACGTCTTATTCAGCCTAATAAATCAAATCAAATCAAAAGTATGTAATGATAAGTTTGTGGTACAGAAGTGACTGCGAAAACCGAAACATAAAAGTACTGCTAAAAAACTCTTCAACTAACTTTTCAGGCAAGAGAAGCTGTTGCCTGTCCAAGCAAGCCCATCTCTTGTTGCAAGGATAAAAGAACTGTGCTACCTTTGACCTACTCTCCAAGCAGAGGTTTGGGTTTTGGAGGTATTTTTAGCGTGTTTTTAGGCTTTTTTATCATGGTTT